TCTTATGATGCGCTTCATCTGATGGGACGACATCTTTCTTTATTTGTTTTATTTTATTTTAATGCTTGTAAATTTGGTGCTTCACATTCCTATCACAAAAATAAGTAAATACGCATTACCAATTTTAGGACATATTTGAATTAATTTTGCACGCATTTATTATAACGGATCATCATTCATCAAATGGCAAGTTCTCTGGCTTCGGGGTTGTACATTAAAGAGAAAAAAAAAATAAAGGTAATAGTAATTAATTGCAACTAGGGTACAACATCATAAATGGTGAAAAATTGCATATTATGAGGGCCAGTGAGGATTTGGGACCATGGGCACGGGAACTGAAAACTACATCAAACTGATCACCAGTTGATAATAAGTGCACAACGCCAATAACGATATACTTACGACACTCCCGTGTATTAGACGAGTGATTGAAAAAAAAAAATATTTGTATAATCGGGGTCGCGAGTGGCTCGCGCATGATTTAATCGTCTTATTCCCATCGAGTCCTAGTCTAGCATTTAGGCCTACGGCCTCCTTCTTTGTACAAAAAAAAAAGATACTTGTGTAATAAAAATAAGTAAACAAAAATAAATTCGTAATAGATAATGAATAATTAATAGAGTAATAAATATTTAATTTATAAACACATAATTAATATTAAATTGTCAAAAATGATAATTATTTTAATTATATTTATATGTATAAATGTCTAACACATGCTATTTACAACTATTTAAATTCTTTAAAATTCACTCCACAAAATATTACTTATATATTTAGATTCTTTAGTATAGTATGGGACAATTTCTTATTGCACATTTCCCAATTCCACAAATCAAAATTTTGAGTTGGGATATAAAGCAAGTTATAATTATTATTATTATGCTTTTGCTGGGAGCGTCTGGCTTTGGAGGGGACCCTGTTTTACAGCATTCAATTTTATATCTCGATGACCCAAAAACTTTATTATGCCTGTATGTAGGGCTGCACACAAGTCGAGCCGCTCGGCTCGAGCTCGAGTTTGACTGAATTCAAATCGAGCTCGAGCCCATATTTTATCTTTTCGAGCAGCTCGAGATATATGAGAAATTACTAAAATACACTTTGTATATAAATGTATCATAATATTAATATATGTACGTAGTGGTAAATTTTCAAAGTTGGCTGAAAAATTAAGAATTGAATTCGAGCCGAACTTGAGCATTTTGAATTCGAGTCGAACTCGAGCTCATTGTATTTTTTATCAAGTCGAGCTCGAGCAACTAAAAAATAAAATAAAAAATCAATCCTGCTCTGCAACGCTAATGTTCGACTCGGTTCGGCTCGTTTAACCTAGTTGAACCATTAGTTGAACTTATCTAGCATGCAGAATTCTTAAAGCTTATAACTACATCTAACAATGAAACAATGCCTTTTTTTTAAAAAAAAAGAAAAAGATCGGCTATATCTTTTATAAATGCAAATTCCTCATTCATTAACAAAGGCAAAGCTAAGGATCCTAAGCAATCTCTTTCCCTTCACATTTTGAATCAATTATTATAAGTTCAATAATTTGGGGCAAATGATAAATTTTCTAGCAACTTTTTCAATTGTAGTCTCTTTCCCTTCACATTTTTGAAACAATGATAAGAGTGTATATAATTTGGGGTACAAAATTTTCTCTTTTTTTTTTATGATTTTAAAATATACTCATTAACTAATAAAAACTGAGCACAACAACAAAAGAAAATGTAAAAAAAAAAAAAAAAATTCCAAATTGACTAAGTAAATAAATAGTTATAGAATGTGGCCCAAACTTATTTAGTTCATTTCGACTCTAGCCCACCATGAGAATAGTTATAGAATGTGGCCCAAACTTATTTAGTTCAGCCCATAAAAACTTATTATCAGCTAGAAAGATTGACGCCCCTTATCTATTATTAAAAATTGTTTACATTAAGGGACCTACATGTTATTTAGTCAAAATTGTATTATATGTTTCCACCTCTACTCCTTTTTGTAGTCTAATATGCTTCTAATAACCGTTTTCCCGCCATTTATTATTAAGTGGCGGTTTATATTTTTTTTATCTTTATTAATTCTCTCTCTTGTATCCTATTTATTTCCATCTCTTTTCTCTCTTGTATCCTATTTACTCTCTTTTTCTTTTCTCTTTTTGCTTCTTCTCGCATTTCGTTTTCTTCCCGTCTCTTTTTTCTTTGTCTTATTTCATTTTTTTTCTCGCCTATTTTATCTTCTCTGCTCGAAAATCATGTTGACTACACCAATAAAATTATGATGCAATTTTCGGCGCCCTAGTCCCGTTCTTCAATTCTACGGCGATAGACTCGACGCCGATTTTCTAGTGATATTTCCCAATGGATGATTTGATGTCGTCGA